AAAAAAATATTTCGCATTAAAATGTATGACGAAGAGCGGATGCCATTGAATTGACTAACAATAAAACTTGACAAAGCGCGTTTATGTGCGCAAAAGTTTTAAATTGTCAAAGTCAATATCCAAAAATAGAAAGATTTTACTTTACTCCAATACAAGATGAAATATAAATAATAGCGACTTCCTAAGTGTAAGAGAAATCAATTTAGAAGTGCGAGAATTAGAAAATATTTCATTGCGAATAATAATAAGAAAGTGTAAAATCAAACAGGCTGGATGGTACGTCTTAGTCGACTGGAATTATGATAAGGAACTTGACTCCGCGCGTATATAATGGCTACATCAAGGATGGCGCACTTTCACTATTTGCCTGTTAAGGCGCCGAACTAATAATAAAAAAAAAAAAAATAGAATTGAATAAGAATACCGTAGGATACTACTTCTGTTTTAAGGATGGGCAGCAGGAAGTCTTGTTTGAAGCGTTTCCTCCGGAAAGTTTAACATTTTCGATCATAACCTAATTCAGAACATTTTATCATTTGAACGCGACTTATGTTATTTGAAAATTCCTCGAAAATTGTGTCTCAGCGAAAAAATTGAAAAATTTTCGTGCGACGATCTATTATGGCTTTCGACCTACACTATCTAGATGAAGACTGGAGGAGGAAAAAGGATTGAAGCCCTATCCTTTGCTATTATGAAACGCCGGTACAAAAAATTTTAACCCGACCGCCATTCACTCACCGGCCAAGCCACTGTGAGATTGAAACAACTTTACGCCTTAGTCCCACTAACATATACAAAACATCGGATGTGCGTTTAGACCTGCAAAAATCTATTTCTCATTCCACTCCACATAACTTGGCAAAATCTTCAATCGGTTCGCGCAAACAAATACTTTAGCCGAAAAGTCAAGAGCAGAGCGATTCTATGGATGTTTTAATATGAGCCAAACTCAAAGAAAAGTGTGTTAGCGCAGCGTTAAAAAGTCAATTTTGAATAGAACGAAATATATTTTATCTATAATTTGATATATACAATTTTGAGGAGATGTTAATAACATCGTTAGTGTTAGTTAGTTTGTTAGTTAGTTGAACACTGAAACACAACAGTTGTGGCAAACGCGAACAGGATATTATATACAAAGTGATCGCTGACAATGAAAGTGTGCACGATAGTGCACACCGCCGATCAAAAGTTTAGTTTTGAGTCTTTCGATGATGAAAGAATATCGTAGATACGTTACAGATTGATGTATGTAATCGTACAAGTTTCGGAAAATTATTTCCATCCGAAACGTGATGAAATCCCTGAAAATTAGCAAATTCATTTAAGGAACGAAACCCGGAAGGAAGTGTGCTCTAAGTATTTGGTGAGATTGCGTCGATTAGCCGCCGCACGTCAAAAGAATTTGAATTCTATAAATGAATTGTGAAATTAGTACACTAATGAACGTCAAGTACCGCAGACGCCTAAAACACAGAACTTTTCCTATTTAACTCGAGGGCGAATGTTGTTTAAAATCAACACTTGCTGGCGGTGACTAGACTTCTATCTAATTCCGATGAGTTTCAAATCGTGATTTTGTCACGGAAGGAAAAAGATGTTCAGGCATCTCAAGAAGGATTGTGGATGACATGTTCCAAATGTTTAGAAGTTATTGTATTAGCCCACAAGCGTAACAGCTAATTACCATGGGGATTGAGCTTGAACGACACTAAAAAACGATTGTTCACCTATGAATTGATCTCTTAAAAATAAAAAAGGAAAAGTCTTTTGTATCGCGCCATAAAGAATGATGTAATGTGGATACGCTACGGCAAGCGCACATCCAAAAAATCACGATACTGGCAGACGAAAGAAAGAAAGAAAGAATTCAGTATAGATCCATTCTACAAGGACGGGTGTAAAATAGTTGTACATTCAACTACTTGTGAAATTTTTCATATATCGCTATGTACTGAAACGAATATCTTTAATAAGTTTGTGCAAACTTTGAGTTCTGATTAAATTTCTGGTGATGCTAGTACGCCTTGTAAGATAAAGAAAATTGTAATAGTTACAATACCTCAACGTTTATTGTAGCACACATTCGGGCATTTTACACTGGCAACACATCGCTAAATACCTACCCGGGGCCTGACATATAAATGCCGTTTCGAATAAACAATGTATATTATTTTTAGAAAATGTTTCAGCCTTCAGCCTTCGGACGATACGCCTCAAAATTTCATATCATTTCAATTATTTATCTATGTGTTTCAATGATTTTGGTGACGTTGTTTTCAAAAGAATGGACAAATTTCGAGTTCTCCATGTTAATTAAACGTTGCTTTTTAAAGGGGAAAAATAAAATTCAAAGCCAACAATATAGCTTGGAAAGTGTTATGGCTTTCTGCATCACAAACAACGACTTATCGGTGGTTTGTTAAATGAAAACCAGTCTCCAAGGATGCTGAACGCAGAGAAGGTGTGAAAAATTTGAATGAAAAGAAAACAAATTCTCCTGAAAACTGTTCTTGACAGTTGGGGAGAAGGAAACTGACAGTTTCAATATATCGAAAAGCAGCATATTCACGATGTTGTGTGAAAATTGAAATCTGAGAAAATTTGAATGAGTACCGCATTTAGTCATAGTATAATAAATGCACCGTGCCACAATCGCAAAATTGCAAAAGTCGTATTATGTTGCCACACCCAACGTATTCTTCAGATCCTCAGCCCCTGCATTTACTATCTGTTTGCATATCTCAAAATAATGCTTCACTGAAAAAGATGACGCCGCTGCGGAAACAGATGCCTGTTTCGAAGGTCTGGACAAATCGTCCTATCCGAAAGCCATAAAATACTACGGAAGCGTAGGACTAATTGTAAGAGTCATGAAACAGACTATGCTGAGCCTAAAATCTTCTAAAAATATGTATTTTTCTTACTTATTTTCGGGAGAATTCGCTACAGACTATTAACAATATTTAATTGTGTATCGTCCCTTGGTTTATAATTGCCCTCTTTGCCGTCTTGCCGCTTTCCATCTAAACTTTCGTGGCCGTACAAGTTTCAGAAATAAACAATAAACAGACGGAAATATTGTGTTTTTCAACAAAGAGCATAATGATGTTACAGATCAAATAGAGTTGCACCATATCGCTGGTGTTTATACCTCACACCACTTGTTGTACAGGGTATGCTAAGTTTGTGCGAATCCACATAACACCCAGGAGGGCTTAAGATATGCCCACTTTTCATTATACCAAACGTCTGCCCGTCCGCCTGGCCGTCTGATGCTTGTCCATGTCATTTGCGTTCCACCTACTGGCCGAAATTTGATAGGACAAACGCTATTTGGAAATGCTAAATGGAATCGGTCCACCTTTTTGACCACTCTCTATATAATGCCTTATTTTGAAAACTCTTCACATGTCGTTATATGACAAAGATCGCTGGGTAATTGCTCTTTAAAAAAAGTTGTAATTTTTTATTGTTCCTCGCCTTGTTAAATGTGAATTATTTTCCAACATGGATCGCAAAATATCATTATCGATCACTTTCTTGTAGGCTCAGATCCCCCGAACGAAATTCGTTAAACCGTCTTTGACAAGCGCCAATATTTACAATATCTTTTCCAAATATCGCGCATAAATTTTTGCATGCAACCGACGCGTTGCTTCGATTTTGCAATTCATACAAAATGCAGTGTCATAAATGCACTTTATCTACTGACGCTGATGTTTTTCACTTTAAATATCACAAGTAAAATATGAACGGTAAAAAAAGACTCGTTTTATATTATACAGCAGCTAAAAAAACAAAAAAAAAAAAAAAAACCGAATGTTCCACTATTCAGATGTTTTTTTTATTTACAAGAAAAATTACCTGTCTATTTAAAATACGACAGAACCTACCCTCCAACCTAATATAACGAACTATTTTTCATTTCTTTTATAGGTCACTATACAGTCAATGAGTGAAAAACCTAATTTAAAATTAAATGCTTGTGTACCTATATATGAATTTCAAAAAGGTAATATGATCTCGATTATTTATACAAAAAAAAAATAAAAATAAAAATAAATAAATATATCTAATAAAGGGGAGCGTTATAATAAATTTTTGCAACTTACCACATTTGGTTGGCCGTTTACATAAGAGAGACCGCCTAATTCATCCTTAATTTCGCGGTAATCTCTGAAAACAACTGCTTTAATAACAGAACGTATTAAGTCATCAGGCCACATGCCAAGTAGAATACGTTGAGGACGCCCTCTAGCCTTTGGACGTGGATCGGAGCCACCGTCTAAGGAGGGGCCCAGCATATTATGGACCCGATTTGCGTATAAAACAAATGTCGGATAGGGAATATCATATTTTCGGGCGGCCTGTGATAACGATAAACCTTCCTTTAGCACGCTAAATATAGCCTCGGCCATGGCCTCGGGCCGCCATGATTTTAATGGGCCTCGCTCACGAAATCTTAATTGTTGGACCAGATTTTGTTGATTCGTATTCCAACACTTCTGCCACATGGACTGCAATTGGTATTGGTAGCTGTCTGTGTAAATGAAAAATTAAATAAACTCATATTTAGCGCATAATGAAATTGATGAATAAATATATTTAAAAATTTTCTATCTAACGATGCTTATATAAAATATACAAAACATATAGTACAGTAGAAATAATATAATTATCAACTAACCTGTGACAGATGTACTTGATGTGCCGGCCGTCCAAGGATGACCGCTTTCAATCATTTTTGCCTTTAAAAGAACAGATAATAAAAAAAAAAAAGAAAAGAAAATTGAAATTAAAGAACAAGCATTATATAAGTAATGCAAAAATTGCATTCGATCTCGTCTATCCATTGTATGGATGTGCATGTTATTTGGAAGTTTAAATTGGTTAATTAATTAATCGATCTATTTTCAGTCTTAAGTCCTTAAAAGAAATTTTAAATCGATGAGAAATATTGCATTTGAGTGAAATGTTAGCCGATTTTAAGGCTTAACCTTAAAATGCAATCTGTTCATCTCCAAATTTTCTTCTAATTTTTCTTCACTTTTGCACTTTGTTTACTTGCAGATGTTATTTTTAAAATTCATTCAAATAAGCTCAACTTTTCAAGATAAATAAAAGAAAATCATCAATGCGAGCATATAACACCGGTTTTACCGCCATCTTAAAACAGCGAAACGATTTTATAGCAGGAACACACTCACAAGACAAGGGCTCATCAGGCGTAGGCACACGCAAATGAACGTTAGAATTTTAAGGGCAGGCCCACTTCAGAGAATATAAAATCATTTTGAATGTAATACATTTATATGTGGCGCTGTTTCTTCCTCTCGTTTCCTTGCATTTCTTTTCTTTCTTTGCACTTTTATAGCAACTTCTGTTTTGCTGATCCGCAGACACGAAGCTATAAAAATGCTTCCGACATTTTCATTTATTTTTATTTCTACATCAATTATTCATCATACACTTTATGGCCCTGTCCTTATCCTACATACACATATATATATATATATATATATATATATATATATATATATATGTATATATATATATATATATATATATATATATGCGAGAATATGCATTTACATTATAATATAATAATACATATATATATATATATATATATATATATATGCATAAACACTGCATTGTAATGGTATGGATCTGTGTAGATGGTGGACACTAAGCTTTGTGTCCATTTCATGTGAACTTTATTTGTCTCCTTTGTTTACCTCTCCTAAAAAATAGTCGTACTTGAAAGGTTACTACTAAGTTGCAATATTTTCGCGCTCTTGCATGTTTACATATACATACACATGATTATACCTGTGTATGAGTTTGCATATAATTATACCCTGCACCCTACAATAACAAATAGTATGCACGTTTTTAATAAAATTAGTCGGTTTGAGACCGAATACGGCTATTAATTCTGATTTTTTTCTCTTCCTTTTTTTTTTTTTTTTTTTTTTTTTTTTTTTTTTTTTATTAAATTAAATGATTTTAAAAGTAACTCTTACTAGTCAGCGCTAACTATATTTTAAGCGAAATTTCTGAAAACTTCATATAACCACTCCCCATTTGTACATAGCAGTTGATTTATAAATAATTTCGCTTTTTTCTTATTTAGCACATCACCTTGAAAAACAAGCTTAAGAAGAAGCTTTTATGTTTTGCTGGAATTACTTTTGCTTTCCGTTAAGCAAAATTTAACGTGAAGAAGGCCTTTACTAGCTACACTAGAACATCTCACATTGTAAGAGGATATGCAATGGTTAAGTTTAACCATAATTCTAGTTCTCATTTTATGCATATATACATATATATTTATTTATATATATATATATATCCATATATATCACATATTATGTATATGTAAATTTAAAACTGCTTGATAATGCAGCAAGAGGTCAACCTTTTTTATATATTTCCCGTTTAAGTATAAACATTAATAAAACATATTTTATTCGCCTGTCGATCCGAATTGATTTGAATGCGATTAAAACTTAATCGATCCAAAAAGCTAATAATAATTATTTGCAATGTACACAATTTATTCGTAGAATGAAAGAAATCCATGTGCATGAGACTATAGATTCGTAACCATCCTTTGCCCCTTAGACAGGCAAAAGAAAAAAAATAAAAGAAACATTTTTAAGAAAAAGAGAAATAATATTTATATAGAGAGTAAGTGTGTACATACATATCTATAATTATAGTGCAAACACCCAGAAGGAGAAAGAATAATGAAACAAAAAAATCAAACATGTTCAGATTAATACGAATTGTAGATGCTCTACTTCTCCCACAAAAAACAGTTACGAGTTACGCTTTAATATTCAATATACAGATGGCTTTTAGTCCGCAGTAAATCTTTTTTTGGGTAATCAAATTTTTTTGTTACCTAAAATGATCTCGCAAATATTTCAAAATAATATAAAAAAAAATTTAATGGTTGGGGCGTGGCAACATCTTAAATGCTTCAAAAATTCTATTTTCCAAGCATAGTAGCGTAGCAGTCAATGAATGCATATATTCTTTCAACGGCACGCAGCATAACTCCAACTATTTGAATCCTTTCCAGGCGAATTGAAACAAAATTCCCTTTTCCGAGCGATGTACGAATAGATGATGATAAACTAATCCCTCGATTGGCAATTATTCTCAATGATTTTGATTAAACTTTTATAGGAAATAGTCGTTTGTAGCGCCTAGAAATACTTAGGCAGAAAGAGAAAGAGAGAGAGAGAGAGAGAGAGAGAGAAATTAAAAATGTTGAGTTCATCTGCTAATCTAAGCCTTTAAGTTTGCATTGGCTTAACAATTAAGATGAAAAATTACAATTCGACTCAGTAAATTCTCAAAAATCAAAATTGCATAGACCTGTTAAAAAATCAAAATATAATAATACGTTGGCACACAAATTATACAATATACGGCAAAATAAAACAACGTTGAGAAGAAAACCGAAATTTCCGATATATTTCATCAATAAGTTTCACAACTTTTACGATGCAATATCTTTTTAATAATTGAAGTTTAAACGATTTTATATTGAGTTTAATGAATAAAATATTTATTTCATACGGAAAAAAAAAAAAAAAAATTATAATAATAATAATAATTATACGTAATATGAAGAATTAGGAAGAGTGGCCCCTAAGCAAGTATACTTGCATTTATTTAAGGAACGTGATAAGGCAATAACAAGTAATTTATAATTCATATATTATTTATTTTTAATAGAAGCGAAAGTCATCTATACACACATATATATATATATATATATATTCATGTCTTATATAAAGACACAAACTTATATAATTATGAATATAACATTAACTTTAAAGAAAAGTTTAATAAATTATTCATAAATATATTGCACATTTGCACATATGCACATATAGGCGTCGTATTCATGAAAAAATCAATATATGAGTATTTTGTAGAAAATTCCACTAGAGGAAATGGTTAATTAAATAAATTATACGAGTGGAAGTATGATGTGTGCTTTGTACTTATAGATATATACAGATATATATATATATATATATATATATATATATATAGACATATAGACATTTCTATATGTATTTAAATTCTACTTATAATCAAAATATATATATATATATATATATATAAATAAAGTGTACTGTACGCTGTAGATTGCTACGCATATACCTATATATAAATTGAGAAGAATGGGACAGTGTAAGTATTTTTATATTTCCGCTTATATATGTAACTAAAACTGTAGGGTTTATATAACTTCGTCGAGGTTTTCTTTTCTGTATACCCGGTAACAGTACGGCTCACAGTGAGAAAATCTAAATGAAAAACAAAAAAAAAAACATAATAATAAAAAAAAAAACTACTCCAAAACACGACTGCTCAAAAGTGAATCTTAGGTACCCATCGCCATGCATAAAATGCTCTTTTTAGTGAATTGAGAGCCTATCAATAAATGTGGATAGGTGGAACAATGTACGTGACTGTTGTGAATATAACGAGCAACTATAAATAGAGGAAGCTGTTAAATTTACTTCTTCATCGTGAATGTTTCTGTTAACCACTTACACCTTTACGCAATACTTTCGGGTAATTGAGAGCCTATTACATAATTGTAAACACCTGCATTTAAAATTTATACTTAAGTATATTTCCTTGAAAATTTACTACATTTTTCTGATTAATATCCCCCTTTATTTACATCATTTCGGGACTGATTTGTTGTAAGTCATGAAATTTTTGACATGCATCGTTGCATCGTTGGCGCTATCTAGAAATCATATGGCCGACAACAATGCCACAAATGCGTCCGACCGGGGACTTTTTAAATGAAGAAGTTAACTTTCAGCCAAAACCTAAAACCTACAAATATTTTCAACATTTGGAAACAAATGCAGATCAGAGGAGGATAAGATGTGGTGCACTTAATGAATGCCTGTCTTAATGAAAAGTTATTCTTTTCTTTACTAAGACAGATATCTTTTCCCAAAGCTCCCCACCAATAGATCTAAAGAGTGGCAGTTTCTGTTATCGTTTAACCGGCTCCGAAATAATCAATTAATAAAACTAATTTCCCATTGTGAGAAAATTAATCTTATAATCCTCCATGAACGGGTTAGCTTCCAGCAGAAAAATCCGGTAGCTTTGGAGTCGAATCGCCGCTCTGTCTACTCTGCTCTTTCTCGTCGTCTTAGTCCCTGCAAAAACAATATAAACAATTTTGAGCATTTAATGAATGACAGGCACATGTTGCCATAGCAAAGCCCTTATATTAGACGTCTGTATTTGCGTAGTTATTCAGTATCAGCGTGTGCCTGAAGTTTTACACTGAATGAATGACAGAAAGTTGCCGACAGAAATAGTCGCGCGTTCTATATCTTCAAATAGCTAGAATAAGTCAATTAATTAAATATCGCTATCCTAACAAAATGCTTCCGCTAAGTGATCGGTCTGTTTGTGTCACTTATTTGAAACTCAATATATTAAACGCAGTCACCTTCCGTACCACCATCACCATCAGAATACATTTAATATGTTCTATAGAGGTACAGTTAAAGCCTGGGTACTAGGGTCAGACTGACACAAGCAGATTTCAAAGCATGTTACAATTTACATTTAATAGAAACAATCTTTCACATATATAGGGCCCTTCAACGAAGGATATCAGTTTAGATCTAGAACACAATAATATTATTGCTTCACAAGTTGTCTGGCAAATGGTGCTTTTCTTCCG